TCGTCTGTCTCACGAGACCCTCCTCTGGCACCACCGCCTTGGCCACCCCTCTCTGCTTCGGCTCAGAGGCATGGCCTCGCGGGTCCTTGTGTCTGGTCTTCCCCGGTCCCTCCCTCCCCTTCCTCCGGGCCCTGGCCCTGCCTGTGTCCCCTGTGTCGAGGGGCGCCAGCGTGCTGCCCCTCACTCCTCCCAGTTTCCTCCGACAGAGGCCCCGTTGCAGACGCTTCACATGGACGTGTGGGGCCCAGCCCGCGTCCGTGGACAGGGTCAGGAGCGCTACTTCCTGCTAGTGGTTGACGACTACTCGCGTTACACCACAGTCTTCCCCTTGCGCAGCAAGGGTGAGGTCACTCAGGTGTTGATCGACTGGATCCGCGCAGCTCGTCTTCAGCTTCGGAGAAGCTTTGGCTCTGACTTCCCTGTCTTGCGTCTGCACTCGGACAGAGGCGGAGAGTTCTCCTCGGCCCTCCTGAGTACCTACTGTCGTGTGCGAGGCATCCGTCAGACCTTCACGCTTCCGGACTCACCACAGCAGAATGGGATCGCTGAGCGCCGCATTGGCATGGTCATGGACGTCGCTCGTACGTCCATGATGCATGCGGCTGCTCCCCATTTTCTGTGGCCGTTTGCGGTCAGGTACGCTGCGCACCAGATCAACCTCCACCCCAGGGTCTCTCGACCGGAGACCTCCCCAGCTCTGTTGTGGACGGGGAAGGTTGGCGATGCGTCGGCGTTCCGGGTCTGGGGATCTCGGGCGTTTGTTCGCGACCTGTCTGCGGACAAGCTGTCCCCTCGTGCTTCTCCCTGCGTCTTCCTCGGGTTCCCCCCCGACGCCCCTGGGTGGCAGTTTTACCACCCCACCTCTCGACGTGTTCTGTCCTCCCAGGACGTCACGTTCGACGAGTCGGTACCCTACTACCGCCTCTTCCCCTACCGCACTCCGTCCCTCCCCCCACCCCCCCTCTTCTTGGTACCAGGTCCCCCCCCAGTAGTCCCCCTCCCCCCTCAGGGTCCTGCCCCTTCAGGTGTGTCTCAGGTAGACGCGGTCGAGCCTGTCGAGGTCACTGGTGACTCCGGTGCTGCTGCGGGAGCTGAGCCTGGGGGTGCGGAGTCTAGGGGTGCTGAGCCTGGGGGTGCGGAGTCTTGGGGTGCTGGGCCTGGGGGTGCTGAGCCTGGGGGTGCTGTGTCTGGGGGTACTGAGCCTGGGGGTGCTGAGCCGGGAGGTGCCGAGCCTGGAGGTGCTGTGCCTGGGGGTGCTTCGTCTCACCGGGAGCCGCTCTCTCCACAGGAGCTGCGTGAGTGGTTTGCCCGGCGCTGGAGGCGTGCCGCTGGTGCTGGTGGTTCTTCGGCTGCGGAGGGCGCTGCTGCCACGCGACCTGGCGGTGCTCGTCCTGTGGGTGCTGGAGCTGCTAGGTCTGAGTGTTCTCCTGGAGCTGGTCCTGCTGAGGACGTTGGCGCTGAGCCTGCGGTTGGTGGTCCGACTGACGGTGCTCCTGGTGCTGCTGCTGGAGGTTCTGGAGCTTCTGGTGGTTCTGCTGGAGGTGCTGCTGGAGTGGGTGCTCCTGCCGGGGGTGCTGGTGCTGTTCCTGCTGTTTCTGGCGTCGCCGCGCGGCCTCGACCGTACTTCGTTCCGCTCCTGCAGCAGGTTCTTGGTCTTACACCTCCTCCTCCTTCCTTAGAGGGTCCGCAGCCTGTCCGGTCACAGCCACAGCTACAGCCTGCCTCCCCTTTGCCTGCTCCTTCTCCCTACGCTGGTCCGACTGGAGGTCTTACTGAGCGTCGTGAGCCTGCGTCTCGTCCTGCGTCGCCTGTTCGTACTGAGCGCGCTAGTGGTCGCGGGTCGCGTCAGCGTCCTCCTCCTGTCCCTGGCACGCACCGGATGTCACTGCGTCCGTCCACTGCTCCTCTGCGTGCCCCTTTGCCTTCTCCTCCTGCTTCCTCTCTTCCTGCTCTTGCCGACCCGGAGTCGGACTCTCTTCGTGCTGCCAGTCCTACTGTCACGCGTCTCCTTGCTACTGCTGTCACTGACCCTTCCTTCGAGTCGTCTGCTGCGTCTGCCCTTGTCACTGAGCTTGTCGACTTTGCTGCGCGCTGTCGTCTAGACTACGCTGCTCGTCTTGTCGCTGAGTCTGAGTCCGCCTGTCCTCCGTCCGTCGGGGGTGAGTGTGCCCTTGGCACGGACGTCCTAGAGGACAGGCAGGAGGAGTTCCAGTGTCTAGCCGCTGCTTCACCTCGTCTCGCGTCTGTACTGCTAGCCCCTGAGGGAGACCCGGATGCACTAGACATCCCGACTCCGCGTTCTTACGCGGAGGCCGTAGAGGGTCCCTACTCCTCTCAGTGGCAGGCAGCTATGGATGCAGAGATGGCTTCCTGGAAGTCCACAGGCACCTACGTTGACGCGGTTCCCCCTCCTGGGGCGAACATCGTCAGTGGCATGTGGATCTTCAGGGTGAAGCGGCCGCCGGGCTCGCCGCCTGTCTTCAAGGCGCGTTACGTGGCTCGTGGCTTCAGTCAGCGGCAGGGAGTTGACTACTTTCAGACCTTCTCTCCCACCCCGAAGATGACCACTCTTCGGGTGCTGCTGCACATTGCCGCTCAGCGCGACTACGAGCTTCACTCTCTCGACTTCAGCACTGCGTTCCTGCAGGGTAGCCTGCACGAGGAGATCTGGCTGCGCCGTCCGCCTGGCTTCACTGGGACTTTCCCTCCTGGCACCCAGTGGAGCCTCCGACGGCCAGTCTACGGTCTCCGCCAGGCACCGCGTGAGTGGCACGACACACTGAGGACTACGCTTGCGGCTCTTGGGTTTGCTCCTTCTACTGCTGACCCGTCGCTGTTTCTTCGCACCGACACTTCCCTGCCGCCGTTCTACATCCTCGTGTACGTCGACGACTTGGTCTTTGCCACAGCGGACACTGCTGGACTCGCCTACGTGAAGTCCGAGCTGCTGAAGAGACACACGTGCACAGACCTGGGTGAACTGCGCAGCTACCTTGGCTTGCAGATCACTCGGGACAGAGCACGCCGCACCATTACCCTGACTCAGTCACACATGGTGCAGCAGGTCCTTCAGCGCTTCGGCTTCACGTACTCCTCGCCTCAGGCCACTCCTCTGCCTACTCGCCACTCACTCTCAGCTCTGCCTTCGGATGAGTCCGTAGAGTCGAGTGGTCCGTATGCAGAGCTTGTTGGCTGCCTCATGTACCTGATGACCTGCACTCGACCTGACCTTGCATACCCTCTGAGCATCCTTGCACGCTATGTTGCTCCTGGGAGACACCGACCAGAGCACATGGCTGCAGCGAAGAGGGTATTGCGCTACCTGTGCAGTACGTCGGGCATGGGGCTAGTGCTTGGAGGGCGGAGTCCAGTGGTCCTTACTGGGCACGCAGACGCTTCTTGGGCTGACGACCAGGCTACGCAGCGGTCGTCACAGGGTTACACCTTCAGCCTTGGTTCCGGCTCTGTCTCGTGGCGGTCTACTCGCTCGTCTTCGGTTCTCGGCTCCAGTTGTGAGGCTGAGATCTACGCCGGGGCCATGGCTGCACAGGAGCTTCGCTGGCTCACCTACCTGCTGACTGACCTTGGAGAGCTGCCTCGTTCTCCTCCAGTGCTGTACGTAGACAACAAGGCCATGTTGGCCTTGTGTCGAGAGCAGCGCTTGGAGCACAGAACGAAGCACATTGCTCTCCGCTACTTCCTTGCTCGTGAGCTGCAGCAGCGTGGTCAGTTGCGACTTGCTTACGTGGCCTCTGAGGCCAACACTGCTGATGTGTTCACCAAGGCACTTGCGCCTTGCGACCATCAGCGCTTTTGTACCCAGCTGGGTCTTGTACCTGTCTTGCCTCACTTGCTCTCTTCTTGACTTTACTTGTACTTTGACATATATATACCTGCTCTTGCTTGTCTAGTTTTATATATATGTCTTTACTCCTGCATGTGAACTGGCCTCTGGCCTTGCTCTTGTGCTCGGACTGTGTGGTGACTTTGTGATCCACCCTGAGCTTGTTTTGCTTTGCTTGACTGGTCTTGTGACCCCTTGTTCTCCCCCACTTTGCCTATGGGGGTGTGTCAGATTATTATAGCTGATGCATGTTTGTAGGCTATAGTGGGGTAGCACATATGGGGTACAGTTTGCTAGGGTTGTATTTGTACCCAACTCTGACTTAGTCAATTCATTCCTCTGCTCATAGTTTCACAGATTACACCCCACTTTGGCTATGGGGGTGTGTTAGAATATATTTGCTGTCTAGCCTGCAGTGGGGTACTCTGTAATGAGTACAACCCAATTTAGGGTATTGTACTTGTATCCCAACTCTTGCAAGTGAAATCACTCCTCTTTCAAAAATCTCTCGATACTTTCCTCCTCACCCTCGAACTCGATTACCTAGGCACCTAAACTATGGCTTCTAAGCCTACCTTTGCTTAACACTTTGAGACATGTTACTAGAGCACTCCTCGGCAAGGTCGACCTGATCACTACCATGTTACTCAAATGTGACACTGCGATGAACCCCGTCGGCGTATAACAACTCGGCGTTGTACAGTGTCGACATAGTGCGTCTGGCTGTATGCATGTATATACTCGGCGATGAGCATCGTCGGGTAGACCAAGATGGTTAATGGTCGGTGCTTTGGGGAATGTGCCCCGCCGCCCAGGTGGCCGAAACTCGAGGAGGTCAGCATCAATGTGCCGTTTGACGCGCATATCGAGCGGGCATGGACAGCACGGATGCGTAGTCGGGAGGCGGAGGGAGCGCTACGTGGTATGATTGCTCGGTTATAGCGTGATCGGCGCCGTTTGCGGCGTTTGCATGCATGTAGCTTTTTGTAAATGCAGTCAGCGATGTCGACATGAATAAGACACAATGAATTGCACACACATGGTGGCGACTATGTCGGAGTCCGACACATCTGGTTCGGATGTATGTGTTAGATCATGTATGTTCGTGTTGTATCACCATCAAACATGTACGATGGGATCACTACGGTTTGCTCAATTAGGGCATCAGCAACCTACGCTAACACATATGCACCGAGGATCTTCATGCCGAATTTTGCGCTTTGTTAGAGGACGCTGCGTAGGTGCGGTCTGCTTAGCCAAGCCGGCCACGGTCTTCGGCATCTGCACCTCCCAGGTGTCTAGAAACAGGCGGTCGACCCACGTCCTCGGCTTCAGCTCGAGCGCCACCAGCGCACAGGCGAGGCGTAGCTTCGAGACCACCTTGGGGGCAAGCCCCTTGACGCCCATGCCAGGCTCCTTGGACATCGTCGGTGCCGTCTCCGGGTTGAGCACCGTGAGGGCATCGCAGAAGGTCCCAATGCCCGGTGCCGCGATCGTGTTCAGTGCATCGACCACGGCTTCGGTGTCGGCATCGCGGTCGCTCGCGCCTAGCTGGCGGACCGCATCAATGGCCTTCAGCATGCGGCACACCCTCATGTTGAGTGCACCCTGGGTCGCGCCTTTGAGGAGGGTATGGCGGTCGATGAACCCCAGCTCGGCGACCCTGTCGCAAAGACGACGGGTGTCATTAGCGGTGGCGGAGTTCCAGAGGCGCCAAGCGTCCCGCACGGTCTTTGCCTCCCGCCAAGGTTGCACCACGTTGAGCTCGTAACTGGCCTCCTCTGCCGTCTTGGGGGGTGGCGTGGGTTTCCCATCATCTCTCTTGGCTCCGGTCCCTGTGTTGGCCGAATCCGCGGAGCCACCCTCGCTCGGAGCTTGCTCGGTCGCCGACGGCGGCGCCGCCAGCATCCTCCAGGCTTCCGACACACGGAGTGCCTCGGTGACTCGAGCAAGCTCGGCGGTGAGCGACGCGATGGTGTCGTTTTGCATCTCGATCGTCTCCTGAAGGTCCAGCTTCTCGAGCGCCGAGCACTCGACCTCCTTCTCCAGCACCTCCTTGAGGGACATGTTGTGATACTGGGTGTCCATGCGGATGGATATTTCCTGCAATGTTGAGTGTGCGGAAAGGCGACAAGAGGTTAGAATTCACCGGTATTCGAACAATGCCGACGTGGTCGGCAACTCACCTCCGACTGAATCTGAGTCGGGTCCCGGCGCTTTTTCATCGTATCGGTGTCAACCGACTCGACCCTTTTCGCCCAGTGCTGGAAGACAGCAATCCTGCAGAGCTTGGAACCTTGGACATACGGGTGCCACGGTGTACGGACGAGCTTCACCTCGAGGTCCTCGGCGACGATGCGTCGGAACATCACGAGGGTGCGCAAGAAGTGCACTGCGGCTTTGTCGGCGTCGCTCCCGTTGACGGCACGCATTTCCGCCTGCAAGTCGGAAAGTGGTGTGGGTTAGTAGGGAGTTGGGCAGCCAACTAGGCCACGACGACTGAAGAACATTGTCGGCGTCGCGTGACATACATCGCGCAGCATAGCATCCACGCCGGGGAAGATGTGCTCGGCGAGGAGGTCCAGGAGTTTGTCGGAGGGCTTGACCCTGCTGCGCCCCAAGAAGTAGTCTTGCTTGAGTCCCGAGTAGCCGGCCTTCCGCATCACCAGCCCAACGGGAATGGCCGTGATTTACGCACGCGTCATCTTGTCGAGAGCCCAGTGTCCCAGCTCGGCGATCTCGGCGCGCGGCGTCCCTCCGATGGCTAGCTCCTGCGCACCTCTGGCGCGGGCGGCGTGCACGTTCCTTTTGCAGAACACCTTGTTGGTTGTCCACATCTGCCTAGTCCAACGTTGGTGGGTGGCGACGGGGAGCTCCTCCTGCTCCTTGTCGTTTTTGGCGAAGAAGAGATGCTTCTTGTACCAGCGTTCGCGTTCAGTGGTGTCAAGCGGCGGAAGGAAGTCGGTGCCGAAGAACTGACCGATCTGGTCGAGGATGAAGTGCAGCCACAGGCCAGTCTCACCGACGGCGCACAGCTCCGCTTCCAGGTGTCGCGCCGCGTAGCTCTGCTGAAGACCGGCATCCTTGGAAGTCTTCGAGTTACGCGCGGCGATCACCATGATGACCGGCTGGCTATCCGGGTTCACCTCCAAGGTGCTCGCCAAGTGGTACAAGAAGACGTCGGGGAGCGTGATCTTGCGGATGCTGGCGCCGCGCAGGAGAGAGTGGTGGGAGAGTAGCGTGAGCACCTTGACGAGCAGGAATCGCCACAGCGTTTGCGACGGAGTGGTTGCCCGCGGGTTCCACGCCGCCGCCGCCCATGTCGGCAACACCCTCATCATGATCTGGCGGAACTGCTCGGCGGTGTAGGTATCGCCGATGGTGCCGCGTTGACGGTCGGCGCAGTTCCTGAATGCAAATCGGCGGGGAAAATCTGTTAGACTGCGTCGACTTCACAGTGCACAGTGATATATAATAAGGTTGTCGACCAACTGACTTGATGTCCCTCTCGTTCTTGTGGCGGGCGTTGAACCGCACCTCCGATCTGACCACCGAGATCTCCCTCATGATGCCCAGCTCCTTCTCTCGGTACAGCGTCTCCTCCACCCTCGCCGCCATCTGGCATGCCTTTATGCGCCCGAGGATCGTGTGCACAGTTGTCGACCTCACAGGCCCGGTTCGCGTGACATTGTTCTCCTCCCCGGGCTGGTCAACAATAAGGTTACACTCACGGCTCATTTGCTTCACGTAGGCGCGCAACCGGGTTTCGGTGACTCTAGGGCCGTGCAGCCAGATGTACTGTCGGCGGACCACTTTCTCGTTGCACCAATCCTTTTTCTTGTTGTCGCGGATGTAGTGGCCGATCTCGTCGACGTGCCTAAGTCGTTGCTCATGGGGTAGCTTGTCGCGTATCTGCTTCAGCATCTTCGCCGCCCACTTCTTGTAGTGGTAGATGAACGCGGTGTACAGCCTGAGCGTGCTATCCTTCTCCAAGCATTGTAGGTGGCGTAGGGCGTCCATGATGAGCACGTCGATGCTGGAGTACACCATGTCATCCTCTACAAAGACTGTCGCCTTCCACTCTTCGCGCGGCACCGCCATGTGCTGATTGTCCTCCTTCTCGTCCTGTTCGAGCATGTCATGTATGTATTCAAATTCCCGCCTAAGGCGTTCTTCCAAGGTGCGCGGATTCGTGCTACGCGGAGGACGGTCGTCGACTTCGTCGTCGCTCTCTTCCTCGTCCTCGTCGTTGTCATCACCTTGGTTTTCCGAGCTGGACGGCACCGACGAAGGTCCAGGCTGCCCAGCTGACGTCGGCGTCAACTTCTTCGTAAACTCCCCTAGAGGCGGATTCGGTATGTCCTTGGTGTACTCCCCTTCGGGAATATGAGTCAGTTTGTCAAGATCGTAAAGCAATTTCAGCGTCTCTACGGGGGCAGAGGACGGACTGTGGTCGGTTGGGGTACCAACGTCGGGCATGTCGACATCGTCCATGACCGCTCGTATGCTCTACCGCCGGCCGTGGAAGAGGGAAAGATTGGTAAACCAGAGACGGTAATGATTCACGGGTGCGGTGTACGCCCTAATCGTCCTGCGGCGGTCTTCCTCGAATTCCCTCTCAAGTGCTTCTAACTCAGCGCCGACCTCGAGTCGTTCCAGTTGCACTTTGATGTCGGCGTCTACCGGATCGGCGGGGGGTGGGATAAGTTGCGGCTGTTGGGCACTAGGCCTTCCTCTGGCCATGCGTCGCCGACTTGGTAAGCTTGGGAGATGCTATCGTCGCCCTGATCTATCGTCGCCGACTTTCCTAGATGACGACCTAGAACCTAGTAAGGCGAAGTCGACGATGGTCTATTCCAGGTCGACGCCTGTGTACCGCTGCTAGGTCGACTCGGCCGTCGAGTAACCTAGACCCGCAGAGATAGCGAGGGTCCTGTGAAGAAAACGAAGTGCCAGATGGCGCACAGGAGCATGAGAGAAACACATAGCTGAACCAGCAGAATGAGAGCGTTGTGCGTGGTCAAGGAGGGGTATGGTTGCGAGCCACTGCGCACCTGCCGCGCTCCACGCAACCCTCTTTGCAAGCGCCGCTGTGCACGTGCATGACGTGTCACGATCGATGCATGTCTAGTGTCACGCCGCTCTGCGCTCAACGGCACTCCCGCCGGTGCCTTGCCACGCTGGAATTCACGTGCGCCACGTGCAATAGGCTAATCACCTAGTTCCACTCTCCCGAAATGCCGTACCGTCCTGCTCTCCCGCGCAAACCTCATCGACCTGCGAGTAGGCGCGTGGCAGGAGGGTTGGTCGACGCCGACATTCCCTTAGTCTGGGGCTCTCTTCGCCTATGCATGGTTTGGTCCGCTCAGATTACTCCGCGTGGGTCGTGCTGCTGCGCTTGGATCTTCGGGCGACACCGACATCTCAATATCCCGTGTTCTCTGGCTATCTAGGTGGTGGACACATGTACATGCCCTAGCCAGTAGTCTTTCACCGCGTGGACGATGGTGACATTTTTCATCGGCGCGCCAAGTTTTGCGCGCAGCAAAATATACCCGGTGGTGCGAAGCGGGGCCACATCGGCGCCGTCGTGGCACCTCCCAATTGTCAGGCTCGATCTCGGCCGTCCCTATTAGGCCACGTGTCCGTAATCGCGGTTCGGCGCACGACGTGTCGACCTGTGGTTCAGGTATCGCTGAGATATACTTCTCGAGTTTCTCTCAGCAAAACCCGAGGTCGTCAGGTTGTCGACAATCCCGAGGGGTTCAGGGCCCCGGAGGACTGCCAGCTCGCCCCAGTTTGCCACTCGCAGGTCGTCAGGAGGTCGTCAATCCCGAGGGGGTTCGTTGTCCTATCGCAACTGCAAAATTGGGCGGTAGTTTTCGTCGGCTGAGGTATATCATCCCAAACCGCGATTGCTCTACTACAGGTTCTCGGGTTGCTCGATGGATTAGATTCTCAGAAAGGTCCAGCTGGCTCCCATTCATCCAGAACAGGCCAGCTGTCGGTTGAGACAGCGCCAACTGTTTCCAAGCAGATTCTGCTGCTCCTCAGTTACAGTCGATGCTCAGCCTATCATAGAACATTTGCTCCGCACAATTAGAAAATTAGTCACTCGCGAACGTTTTGCCCATGAGTGACTAAATTGACCATTGTGCCGATTTTGGGATACAATCACCAAGTTGAGGAAGAAAAACATCTACAGTATATAAACAACAGCGGTTGCCCGTCATCAGAGAAGTTAACATGGTTACAAAATTAAAGCCCTTAAATCGATTCACGTTGCAATTTCATATTACTGTCACTTTTTTGCCCGTGGCGATAAGGGCGAATGTGACGAAATGACTCGAACACGTTTCACGCACATGCCGCCCGCCTACCTGGTGTTCTTGAAATGGGCATCGACAGGACATCAAAGGATCTCCCACCCAACCCAATGGCAATTGCCGGCGGACTCAGCTCAGTTGTACACCCTATTCTCGATAATTTTACACCCCATTATGCGTACACCCTGGGGTAGATACTCTCGGTTAAACATTTAAGTAGGGTAGCAAGCAACGATTGTAGACTATCAGAGGAAGGGTCTCGCAACCTTCTCGGGAATAGAAGAAAAGAACCCGGAGTTCCAATTGCAGCCATCCACCCCTACTACTCACTCGGAAAATGTGCTAGACTCAATAACTACCCTCGTCAATCTTTGGGTGCCCGTCACATCGAGCCAGAAAACGTACTGGGTACCTTCGAAATAGGGGGTAAGGGGGTGTGCAATTATCGAGAATAGGGTGTTACATAGGTGCAGTTTTGTTTTTCCCTTCTCAGCTCAGTTCCGTGTTGCGTGGGAGACAATGCGATCCATTTCATGAACACAAACATGGGAAGGTGGGTTTGCCAAAATGTGGGGTACTGTAGAAAGGAAGCAGCACGCTAAAGAAGAGAGAGTGGAGGGAGTGGGAAAAGGGAGACGGAGAGCGGGGTTTGCATGTCATTTTTTTGCATATTTTTTTTCCTCACCAGTTTTTAGCCTCACCTTCTTGATTTACTTTAGCCTCACCTTTCGACCGACCCCAGCAACTCCTAACTGCCCGAGA